GGAAGTTGGGGCCATTCTGATTCATCCTGTGTCATAGAAATGTCCCTTTAATTGAATATAAAATTTCCAAATGCTACAAAATAAAAGTCATCGTAAATATATATACCTGAGATGCAAGAATGACAGCGTCTTTTTGGAGAAAAAGTGTGAAATGGCTTGTGAGGTTGAAGCTTCCAGTGAGCCATTTACCTGGTGGAACAATAAGTTGTGCACCACCATCGTTTGCATATTGGCTTAGGTTAGTTATTGCTGAATTAAAAGCCTTTGTGTTAGAGGTTTTTCCATCGCCAACACCACCGAAATCTGTCAAAATTGCACTGTGTTCCACCTACCACCCTTATCCACCTACCAAACTCAACCTTCACTTTCATTCGATCACCCTTATCCACCTACAAAACTCATGTTCCACCCCGCAACCCATTCACCCCTTCAGAAAACATCTTCTTATATCCAAGGAGATGACTGAAACTTAATCCATTCATTATTAATTACATATAATATTTAATATATTTAAGATTCAGTTAGCTGGTTGATTGTTTGTTTAGTTGGAACTTGGATTGTATGAGCTTCACTGTGGCACTGCCATCTTAAATAGTCTCCTAGCTTCCTCTGTTTTTCACTTTTTGACCGCGCGTGGGTTTTTAGACCTTTGAGTTACCGTGGTGCCGATGTTTTCATATTGGCTTTCTCTCTCATAAGCAAGGCTAGTTATGAAAATGTCTCCAAAAAGGTGCTTGCTGGCTTCCATTTTGATATGGTGTCCCTTATAGAATGTTTAGTCTATCAAAACTTGCTAATATGTTACATGTGTTCGTTTCGTTTTCAGTGGATTCCAGAGTTGAAGCATTATGCACTTGGTGTCCCCATAATTCTGGTTGGGACAAAACATGGTATGTTTGTTGCTGCATAATGTGATATTGATATGCTGATGCTGTTTTCTCTATATTTATATATGGTATTAGTCATGGTTTATGTTTTGGTGAAATCATATAGCCCCATGCATTTCATGATCAACAAATATTGATGTTTTAAATATCCTTGACAGTTTCCATTTGTTGAACTGGTTAATTACTGAACCAGTTTGCTGTGTTTGTTAAGGGAGAGGGTGGGATTTCTGTTGCATTTTATTCTATTTTTTCTGTAGTGTTTCATCTCCATTGTTTTTCCACTGGTATCTGATACTTTAGTTGTGGTCAATGTTTTGGTGTTTCTGCTTTTCTGGTTTGTTTTAGTTTTATTCATAAAAAGTTGTATATGCAATTAGGATTTCCCTGTTTCCAAATTTGTGTATATATATTTTCAAATAGTCTCCGCTCCAAATGAGTTGTGTTAGCTTCTAGTTACACGAATGGCTTTTTCCACAATCTGTACCTACAACATCAATTAGCTTGCTAAATATATTGAATGTTACTTGCTGTTCATTTTCTGTTGAGTTCAAATGTACAATAATTCACTAAACCAGTTTCAGTTGGTGCTCTTCTTTAATGTTTTATGTTATGGCAAATACTTTGTATACTTTCAAATCATTTTGACAAAATGTTTTATGTTATGGCATAAAGTTGTATACTTTTAGATCATTGAGTTACTTGTTGAGAAAATGTTATAGCATTGCATACTCTAATTACATACAATTCCATACAATTCCATACAATTGCATATTTCAGAATGCTGCTTTTGGGGTTTTGGCCTTGTAATTACTTAGAGTAGTCCACTTGGAGGTGACTCAATAATTCAACACAATTCTAACCCCATCCTACATCCAACACATAACTAACATTTCCCTAACTAACTAGTTCAAGTTGCTAACTGACTCGCTCCATCTAATAGAATTAACCATTCAACAAACTCATAAACAAACCAAGCTCCATTTAGCACAAAAAAGTGACATGGCTGCACATTACAAAAACCTTAGCCTTGGAAGTGAACATGACCTTAGTCATGATGACTCAGCTGAGAATTCTGCTGCCATCTTCTCTCAAATCGGTAACCCGAAAGGGCGATGATCGATGGCGACGAATAAACTATTAGGATGATGATTGTTTCTATTGTAGAAAAGAGCTTCTTGCTTGATTGAAGGTAGAGAATTCTAGAGTACAGTGCTAACTTTGAGGATTGAATTTAGAGTATGCAATGCTTAGAGTATGAATTAAGCATAGAAAAGACATCACATCATTGCCTTTTACAGCATGTCGTTGTTTTTACTCTTGTTGTGATATATCCATATCCACAATTATTAAATGGCTAATCCATTTCTTATACTCCTATCTTACAGTAACATGAAAACAGTGCAATTTAATTTATAGTTATTGTCATGACACCGACCTTTGCTCCAGAATACTCGGGAACTACATAAGTATCTTATTTTCAAAGTTTATCTATGAAATATAGTATTGACTTCATGTTCTTTGCAGTTTTTTCTGATATTATATTGAAATAGAAACAATAATGTTGTTCTGATCTAACTCAAAAGTCAAAACAATAGTTCTATTTATTTTTAACCATTATAATAGGACTAGGACACTAAAATTGTTCATAGGGTATTGGTTTTATTAATACTACTCCTACATTATTAATTAATACAACATTTAAGTTTTGGCATTGTCTGATTTCTGGCACTATGTGATGCATGTGTCATTATTGTGGGAATTCAGATAGGTGTATTCTGATTTAACTATTTTGCCTTATTTAGTGTTCTTTTATGTATGGAGTTGCTGTAGAAGATGTTAACACTTTCCATATAGTATCTATTTCCATGTATTGCCAACTTAGAGAGTGTAGAGAGAGTAAAAGTAGCTAGCTGGCACAAGTGTGTCTGCATTAGACAAACATTATGTTAACAATAATTACTCTTATCTTCATTAATGGTTGACTCTGTTAGTTGTGTTGGTAATTGATTAGTGACTCGAGGTTTCAAGTTGTGTTGCAGTTGGTCATCATGTGAAGTTAGTTAGCTTGAAGGTGAGTTGAAGGTAGTTAAAAAGGGTCAGTTAGGATTCTGTTAGCAAATGGATTTGAGCTGGTTAGTTATAAAACTGTTATGAATGGTTACAAAACTAGTTTATGCTAAATGTTGAGAGAAATTAGAGATCCAGCTTGTGCTAACTGTTAATGGTGAATTGATAACAAACTATGTTAGTATGTTAGGTTATGCTAACTATTGTGGAAATTAGTTTGATGTTTGCTTTGGCTCGACATGAGGAACTAGCTGACTGATGTCGATGTTGATGAATGGTAGGCAATGAACTCTTATGGCTGTTATATTAGGATTGTCAGCTCTGTCAGGCTATTGTGATTTTATTTTGGAAAATCTGTTATGAGCTTGCTAAATGGCCATTGTTCATGTTTGGATATACTGTTAATGGTTTGAATATACTTAGGTAAAAAAAATTCTCATATTATAATCAGTAGTATCTCTCTTAAATCTAAAATATATATTCACACTTACAAATATATGCTTTTCCAATATAGATTATATTCACTTGATTAAAAATTCTGTCTATTAATGAAATGGGGTCCATGGCCAATTCAGGTACTGTTATTGGAGCCTTTTGTTTCAACTCTGGAACCACATGTTCTGCAAGTTGCAAGGGCTTGATATTGCTTTTTCAATCAATAACGTTTAGCACTTAAACTGGTAAGTCTCTGAAGAAGTGTGTAGACATTGTAGGAATTCTAGACACATCTTATAGAAAAAAATAGAGCTTGAGAACAAAAATCTCTAGACAATGTTCATATCTTAATATGGTATTTGACATTGAAACATTAAGCTATCAAATGGCTCAAAAACCCCTTTTACTTCATGTTTTTAAGATTTTTGTTCTTGTTCTGATTCTCAAATTTATATTGAAAAAGGTGTGGTTCATACATAGAGATTTGTGTTTATGAGCCCAATAAATTCTTAAGAAAAATGTTATTATAGGTCGCATGTTTCTTTAATTGTTAATTATTTTATAGATTTAATATAAGTTTTTGAGAGAATATAAGTGATCAAATTTTCTTTATAATATGATTTCTACAACAATATTTTAAAGGATTTATTCTTTTTCATGGTTGATGTTGTTAAACCATTTCAGGTTCTATATTTTCAATCTCATTTTATTGTTATGACTTTTGTTAATATTCCCCTATTTCTAAAACATGTTTATGATTCTAAATTTTTACATGTTTATGATCCTAAGTTTTTAGTGCTAATATCTAACCGAACTAAATATCTAAACTGAAATGAAATGAAACTGGCGGTATAGTGGCGTGGTAAGTTGTTGCGGATTGTCGGTTTTTACGTGATTGTTTTGTGAGAAGCTTTTTTCCATTTCAATGATGGATTAATATCCATTTGAATCTCATTGTGATGACCAATGATAGTGTGATAACTGTGGGAATCACGGTTTTGTTTTTGTGCGTCAAGGATGTGTTTTGCAATGCTTTGTGGCTGTTATTATGTGTTGAAGGATGGAGTAAAAGATTAATGGTGTGTGTGTTTTGCAATGCTTTGTGGCTGTTATTATGTGTTGAAGGATGGAGTAAAAGATTAATGGTGTGTGTATGTTTTGCAAGTTTGGTTGTATTGCTGCCATAAAAAATTTGAGAGAGAGCCAGATGTTACGTGGTAGCATCCATGGCTTTGTATTGATGGAAAGGTGAAATGGTGATGAGTGTGTGGTTACTGTAGTTGTTGCAATGAAGTGGAAAATATATGAGAGAGTATGACAGTAAGCGTGTGAATCTGGTGTATTGGCCTTTTGAAGAAAGAACACTGAAGGAATGGTTTCTGTTTGGTTGTGTGGCATTAGCATAGAAAAATGATCTTTGTGTCGGTACAGTCAGTGTCGGTACAGTCAAAGCAGTTCATATATGTTTGTTTTGTAAATAATGATATTAATGTTTTTATTCGAATCTCATTGCAGGGTCTCCTTCCTGTTAATATATATTTATCATCCCCGAGTCGGTGTTTGGTTGCTTGTGGCAAACTATATAACACCAAAGGTAACACAGTGCACGGCATGACGTTACCACCTGGATATGTCAAGGTTAATATCGAAGTTGCTATTGTGCCAAATGCTCAATTGCCTATATCTGTTGAAGGTGGTGATGTATCGATGGTCGGTCAGGCAATAGGAACAATTGTGCCATGGCCAATGAACCTTCTTGAATTTGTTGCTGAACGTGAAAAGGTAAATTACTTATTATTAACTTGCTTGATCGTTATTTGTTTTATTATTTGATCACTAACCTTAATTAATAAAACTTTTTAGAATCCTGATCAATCCCAAAACAAAGTTAAGAATACCCAACGAAGTGTTGATTCTGTTTGGTCACCTAACAAAAGCAACATAAAATTCAAAATTGAAGAGTCTCCTAGAGTTGGCGGTTCAACCAATCTTGTAAATTTACCTTTCCTTGATATGTATGTGAAAAAGATGATGAGGGTTGGATCGTTAATTCAAATAAAAATGGAGGAAAGTATATTTGGTGAGGAGTTTATAGAGCATCTACGTGTAGAGAGTATAAAAGAGATTCTTGATCACAATTGGTTAAGTGCCTCTGTTATCACTGTATTTTCCAGGTACCTCTATTATTACAAATTTCCTCTAATCTGACAAATATATTAATATTTACATTGTTGACAAATATATTAATACCAATTATTGTTGTTCATTTCTAGGTATTTGTATGACAAGTTTATTAGTCCAAATGGATTAATAAATAAGTTCTCCTTCATATCCCCACATGTATCAAAGGAGGATAATCTAGGAAATGCTATAGCAAAAATACTTCTGAAAGATGAGGAGTATTTCAAGGATAAGATGATTCTTGCACCTTGCAATCTAGGGTGAGTTTTCTATTCAAAATGTTATTAAATTTATGAGAAAAAACTATATAAGTATATTATATGCATCAATATTATATGTATTGCAATGGAAGGTGAAGTATCCAAGTTCTGAGTGTATTGCAATATTATATGTGTTGCAGGAAACATTGGGTACTACTTGTCATCAATCTCGATGCTGAGGTGATATATTACATGGATCCGTTGAATGGTGAACCAACTAAACATCAAAATTTAAAAACCAAGTTTGAGAAGTAAGTATAGACTCTTTTAATTTAACATTTATATAAGTATTCTTAGTTATAATAATTACTCATTTGAAGTTAATTTCATTTTGTTAGTGCATTGCAAATTTATCGTGCTAATAGTAACTCTAAAGTGCCTAAAGTCTCCAAGTCAAAGAAAATTTCATGGTCAAAAATTCGGGTATGTCCAAATTAACGTTATTTTAAAACAATTATGTATAGTAAAAGTAATATATGTAAATGTTTTTTTGCAGTGTCCTCGTCAAATTAATAGCATTGACTGTGGATATTTTGTAATGCGATTTATGAAAGAGGTCATCATGGAAAATGAAATTATGATCCCCATAAATGTACGTGATTTTAATTGTTAAAGCTTTGTAAATTAATGTAACTTAGTTCTAACACAATTGTTGATGTTTTTATATTTGAAGTACTTTCCTGACCACAAGTGTCGTACCTACTCTAAGGATAAGTTAACTGAGGTCAAAGATGATTGGGCTACCTATATGGTGGATGATATTTTTGGTAAGCCTACAATATATAGATACTTAATACTTTATTTGCATATTAAAAGTTCACTAGTGCTTCAAAAGTTTAAGTGCTAACTGTCGCTACTGCGAAAATCGGCGCCGGCTGACAGAAGAGTCGCCACCGTGCGTTATTTATCCCTCAGAGCGGGAAAGGAAACGCTCGAAGTAAACCTCGCAAAAAACGGGGAGAAGGTATGGTCATCGCAACCATATCCTGGGTTCGGGAGTCAGTTACGCAAGGGGAAGGTATTAGCACCCCTCACGTCCGTCGTACTCGACGGGATCCACGCTTGCTTGGGTTGTCTACTGGATGCAAAACAATCTATCTACGGTTGCTAAATCTAAACGGAAGGGAATTGACTCGATAGAGCGTCGCACTCTATGCCTACGTATTCTCAGGAGAGAAAGTCAGAGTCAACGTAGTTCGGGACTACAGGGAAAAATGGCTCGCCAAGACCTCGCATCTTGTGCCTACGTACTTCCACTGGATGGAAGATCAGAGCTTTACGTAGTTCAGACTAACTACGGCTAAACAAACATTCTCACACAGCAATGAGAAAAACAACTGGTTTCACAGGGTCGGGAACCTATGGTCAAAACTATGGCTGAGTCTCAAATGCACTTGGGCAAGAGAGAAAAAGGGGTACTCAATTAGTCGTCAGCGGGAGAGTCTCGATCGCACAGCCGCGAGAGAACAACAGTCAGTCGTTAGTGTGCTCGCTAGGATATCGCATCCTATGCCTACATATCTTCGTCTGGTACGAAGAATCAGAGCAGCTGTAGTTCGGCTACTACGGGACCACAGCTCAAATCTCGTTTTATTAATCTCTGAAAAATGATTACAATGAGTTGAATACCGAAATAAATCTCCTAGGAAACGCTATCCTATTCTATCCTGAAAAATCGACTGAAAATAGCCCCCTAACAAATGGGCTTCTAAACTATCCTAAAATCGGAAAATGATTCCTATGAAAATGTACCTAAAGAAAATGCTTGAAAAATATTAAATCGACACTTTAATATTTTTTCCTTTTCTCTTCTTTTCTTTTCAACATATTTTTCTCTGTATTTTTCTCCTTTTCTTTTTTCAATATTTTTCTCCTTTTCTTTTTCCATATATTTTTCTCCATTTTCAAATATCTTTTTTTCTCTTTATTTCTTTTTTCTCTTCAAATTCTTTTTCTCTATTTTCATAATATTTTCTTTTTTATTTCTTTTTCTATTTCTTTTTTCTTTATTATTATTTTTTTTATATGGAATATACATACAAAAAATATAAAAGAAAAGAAACATAAGGGGAGGGGGTGTAACTGGTCAATACAGGGGGATAACAGAAAAATAAATAAAAAAAAAAACAAATAAGCTGGGCCCAGCCCAGGTCTCTCCAAAAACGGGGGGGGGGGGGGGGTAAGCTACTGAACTGGGAGGTGTGTCTGGGAAACGCTGGGCTTAGGCCCAGAATCCATCACTCAGAAAAAAAATGGGGGAAGGCGTAGGGACACACAAAAAACACCAGACTTTGGGCCTTGAGGCCCAAACCCATGCTAACCTTCATTCCCACTCCACCTTCTCTCCAAACCCTAATTTTCCTCCCTCTTCACTGCGCCGCCGCCGTAAACCCTCCGTCTGACTCCCTCATCTCTCAATCCTTCTTCTCCATCCTCTCTGTTTCCTTCTCGCAATCTTGTCTCCCCCAACGATCTTTCAATCGTCTTCTCAAACTCACCTCCATGCTTGATGTTTACTGAACTTATGAAGCTTGTTGAAAATCCATATGTATCTATGTTCATGGATGAAGGCACTAATGAAGGGAGTTAACAAAACCTGGAGATACACGTGAAGGTCTTTGACGAGCGAAGATGGAGATCTATACTCGTAGGCGAAGGCTCGATGAAGGTTATTGAAGGTTCTTAAGATCTGGTGATGAGGCTCTCGAAGATCTTGGAAGAACGGAATCTGGAAAGTGTATCTGGAAGAAATTCTTGAAGAACATTATGAACACCTTGAATGTTCAAGTGTTTCCGGAAAAAAAACTGTCACGGTGCTATACGACGGCGGGTGAAGATCTGGAAAACTACTGAAGGTTCGTTGAGGATTTCTCTGAATATGTTGAAGATGGATGAAGAAATGAGCGGAGATCGATGAGATTTGCATGTTTCTGGAAAACCGGATTTATGGTGATGATGATTCTGGCGAAGAAGGTTGAATGAAGTTCTGGGAAGCTTTCTGGGTTTCTTGATGAAGTTTCTGGGAAATGCGTGAAGATGATGATGATGTTCATCATTCTGGATTTTCCTGGGTTTTTGGGGTTGAGAGTGATGGTGAAGCTTGATCGGAGATGGAGGTTCATGGTGGATCCTGGGGATTTGGTGGTTGAATGAAGGTTGAGATGGAGGATGATCGGAGGAAGATGAGGGTTATGGAAGTTTCCTGTTGAAGACGACCGGATTCTGGGGAGAAGGTTTCCGGTGAGGGTGCGGTGGCCGCCGGCCATGCAGGCCGGCCGGCGGTGGCTTTCAGGTGAGGCGCTATGGTGATGCCACGTGGGCGTGTGGGTGGGGGCAGACGGTGCATGCGGGACGCGTGTCCCCATGCGTGGCCTGGGAAGAGGAAACGAAGGGTGAGGTGGCGTGCTGTGATGCAGAGATGTGGGGCCGTCCTCGAGCCAACACGTGGCTTCTGCTACTTATACCACTGAAATGATCTGGGAGCTTCTAGAAGGCTCTGGAATACGCTGGAATATTTTGGACCTTTTCTGGACATTTTTGCTGAAAATTCTGGACCAAACTTGGACAAAAACTGCATTGGGCCTGCACTGAACTGGGCTGAACGAAAATCATCAAAAAACCACAAAAAACTGCATACAATGGATTAATAAAAATAAAAAGGATTAACCTAATTAAATCTAACACTAATCTAATTAAACTCTAATTAAAACTCTAATAAACCCACTAATTAAATTCTATGAAAAACATCTAATTCCTATTAACCTATTTAATATCTAATATATGAAAAATCTACTTATTCTATATTAATATCTAAAATGTCTAAAAAATTAAAATCTATTTAAAATCCTATAAAACCCTAAAAATGAATTTAAAATCTATTCAAAACTATTAAAAAAATCTTACTAATATTCTAAAAATGATAAAAGCTATTTAAACCCTAAAAAATCCTATTAAATCCTAAAAAATGCCAATAAAATCCAGAAAAATCACCACAATTCCCAGAGGGACAAAATGAGCACCGAACGACACAAAAATAATCGGTAAAAATAAACGGGCACCGAAATATCCCAAAAATCGATTCTACCTATTAAAACTGATAAAAAACACCTGAAACACGAGACGAGAGCTGTGATCCCAATAACATCAAAACAAATGAACAATGCAATGTATGCAATATGCAGATGCGAATGCGATTATGTGTCGAAACATAGGACCAAATGCGAGCCCCGGTTGGTCAAATTTTAGGGTGCAACAGCTGCCCCTATTCAAGCGACTTCGACCTGAATGGGTGAAGAGCGCTCAGCCTTCAAACATTCAGGGTAGATGACGGTTGAATACCGGTAAACCCGAAAATTTGCCAACTGCTCAACTTGCCGAACATTGGAATACTAGCTGCTCACTGCCCGCCGTAGAGTTTCAACACTAAAGATATATAAAACCCTGGCCCCTGGCCATTCTGCAGGAGGTATCTTCGACTTCAGTCACACGTTGATTCATCAACAAGGGAATCTGAACTCACAGGAACCTTCTGATACCACCCTCAGGCGCTTGCGAAATCCATCTTCAGATTAGACATCACTGTTGGAGCAGACATATCACGCTGCTAAGGACTTCAAGAATCATCTTGAACCAACAAATTCGTCGGGCACCTTCAAGAATCATCCTGAACCGATAACCATTCTGGAGACTTTGTTTTGCTAGGCATTCCAGGAATCTTCCTGGGCAACTCTTGCTGAGGACGCTACCGGGGAGCTCAAGCATCATACTAGGCGAACAACTCGGGAAGCTGTACTGAGGTCTTAAGAATTATCTTAAGTAAACGGCTCTGCTGAGGGATTCAAGAATCGTCTTGAACTGAAGACTTCGCTGGGGAGACGAGAAGCTTAACCACACAACTCTGCAGGTGAACAAATTCGAAATCCAATAGGTAACCATCCTGGTCCATGTTTCGACATGCGTATGCTTGATAATGATGCAAAGCCCTATATGACATGTAAATGCTATGCGTTTTGTTTGAAAATGTGATGCCCAGACGGCATGGATATACTATATGCTTGTATAAATGCAATGGCTATATATGCAAATGCTAATGCAGGCTCTAGCTGCCAGAGAACACCAGGTCTGAAAACCACTTGGCAAAATAAATGCCGAAGGTAACGCCAACTCTACTGGGGATGACCTGAAGTCACAGAACCGTCTCAGCAAAATAAATGCTGGAAACGGGAAATCAAATCTGCTGAGGATAACTGTCCTGC